TATTCATAGAAGTAAAAATAGTTTCTTATTTAATTTCTTTTAACATATAAACGACGGTTAAGATATAAACTATGCTTGCAGATTTCTTATTTCATTTCGGAAATAGGAAATCTGAAGAAAAAATATTCCTAAAGTTTGGCTTTTATTAACGTAAAAATCATCCCATTTAAATTATTTATTTTGCAATTAAGCCTAAAAAACAGAAACACTTATAAAAAAAATCCTTGTTCCCGGCTAACGCAAGTTTCCACGGCTTTTTTGAAAATTTTAAGGATTTTTCTTAAAATAAACAACTAGATATGGCTTTTTCATTAATAGGGTTAGAGTTTAATGACTTTTTTATTAATATTTTTTTTATATCAATAAGTATTTATTAAAAACTCAAAATATAGATATAATCTACATCATTTTCAGTTAAAATAATAATAAATAAATAAAAATAAACTTATTTTCTTTATTAAAAACTACAATAATGATAATTTATATATCATTTTGGGATTGTTTTATGATTTCTTCGATAAATATCATAACTAAACTCATCACTATATATCATTTTTAGCATTTATTTTTATATAAGTAGTGTAGATAATATTTTAACAATGTTGGTCAGATGCTATCTTTATTGTTGAGTTTATAGGTCTTGATTGTAAAAAAAAAGACTTAGATGTAAAGAATAACAATAAAGATAGTTTATTGTAGCTCTTATAATGTCATTTGCAGGTATTTAACAGTGTTGATCACATGCTACCAAATTAAGTTTAAGAACTCGTAACTTAAATGTCAACATAGTTAAATAGTTAAAAATAACGTTATAAGATTTTTAATAGTTATAAAAACATGTTGAAAATGATATATATAATTATGATATTTATTGAAGAAATTAAAAAAATAATATATATATATATATATATATATATATATATATATATATATATATATATATTATGTTTTTATTAAATAAAAATGTGTTTTTTAGTGAAAAAGATGTAGATGATATATTTATTTTGAGTTTTTTAACAAATAAATATTAGTTTTAAGAGTTCTTCTTTTATTTTATTTTTGCAATTTGTTTTGAAATCTGAAATGACAATTTTAGAGTGTTTAATATCATATTTTTCAATCAAATGTTTAAGTTTAAGCAACATCTTCGTATATATTTCCTATTAATATGTTCGTGTAACATGTTGAAAGATTTTAATAAAAAAACAAAGTTTTAATTCTTGAAATTTCAAAAAAAATTATTGGATTTTAGATTTGTTCTTAAAATACTTAAGTTTTTTATTTAATTTTTTTTTCCAAACATCCAAAATCTTAAATGTCACTCCAAAATTCAAAATGTCAACCAAAAATATAAATTTTTGTCAAAAAAAAAACTATTCTTTTCATCATGGATAGATAACTCGTTTTTTTCTAATACATACTTTTTACTAGGGGTGTGCGCGATGCGGTTTTGTGCGGTTTAAAGTCAAAATCGCAAACCGCACCGCATATGCGGTTTGAGTTTTTTTGAAACCGCAAACCGCACCACAGAAGTTCAAAAACCATGTTATGCGGTGCGGTTTGATGCGGGCGGTTTATGCGGTTTGATGAATTGCTACATTTTATAACTTTTGAAAAATTTAGAAAACCTTTTGATCTTTTGAAAGATATAAAACTTGAAACTAGAAAATATTTTGCAAAAAACTCAAAAGCAAGTTGTATTTTGTAATACATTTGTTAATTAACTCCTATTATATCACTATATTCACTAATTTTAGGCTAATTAACATATTCAGTTTTATCTGTACCAACATTGTAACTTTTGCGAACTTGTAATCAGACAATTATTAGTATATTTATTAATCCTAGTGATGAAACAATACACTTTCTTATATATATATATATATATATATATATATATATATATATATATATATATATATATATATATATATATATATTAAGCGTAACCTCTCGCACGTTATGGAAGAATGCATTTAAGTGGTTAAAATAATTATGGGAAAAAATAGAAATATGTTAAAATTTATGTTTTTAGTCATGTTTTGGACATTAACCGAATTATCAAATAACATAAAAATTCATCAGTTTATATTTTGATACTATCTAATATAGTCCATACCTTAGAAACTTTACTTTTACTTTTATTATATATATATATATATATATATATATATATATATATATATATATATATATATATATATAAGTTTTTGTATAATATTAATATAATTTACTTTTCTTATGTACGATAATATTTTTTGGATAAAATAAGAAATAAGTTGTTTTGAATGAGATATTAATAAACAATATTGAATTAATAAATTTTGTATTACACAATTTATATTACACAAAAACATCCAAGGTTTCATATATAAACTTTCAAATATTAAACATTGAAATTAAGAATGAAGTAATACAAAATATATCATTATACATACATATCATCAAGAGTTTTAAAATAAGTCGATTAGTAAATATAATATTTAATTATAATTACATATTTTGCAAGACATACGTTTGACTTTGTGTTGGTGCGTCGAAAATCCTCTTTGTTAATTTGTACCTAAAAAATTAAGGTGAATATGAATATAAAATAGATATTACTAAACATTAATATAAATAATTAAAAATTGTATGTGGATCTTCTACCACCGGTTAAAAACAACATACATCTCTAGTGATATCAATTCCTATGTGAAATTAAAGTAGTTATTCTATGTATATCTTGTGTTCTAATTACATAAACAAATATGAATAACTAAATATTAAAATATTATCTTTATGTAAGAAAAATATTTTAGTTAACTAACAAATTAAATAATATAAGTTTAAGAGTTAAGAGTTTCAAAATATTACAATCATTATTAAAAAACATTTGAAATATTAGATTTTAAATGAGTTTTGGTTGAAGTGTTTTGACCACTATTAATATATATATATATATATATATATATATATATATATATATATATATATATATAGAGAGAGAGAGAGAGAGAGATGGAAAGTATAACATATATATGAGTTTTAATTAATTATCTTTTTGAAACGGTACAATTAAAAAAAACATATTTAAAATATTTAATTAAATATTTTCGACATCACCCTATATAAAATATGATCAATATATTAACGATTAAACAACAATATACGAGTGTATTACAATAATCCAAAAACGAAGAAAATATAAAAACGAATTAGTATAAAAAAACTTACAAATTAAAAGCTTTAATATAATAGCATATCTCCAAAAGTGTATTACAATAATAAAAAAACGAAGAAAATATAAAAACGAATTAATATAACAAATTTACAAATTCAAAGCTCTAATATAATAACATATCTCCAAAAGTGGTCATAACACCTCAACCCAATATAAAAACCTTTAAGTTTGTTTTCTTTTTTAATTTTGTATATGATTTTGTATGTATGTATTTCCAAAAGATTGACATTTTTATAGTAAACTTTTCACTAAATGTTAATTAAATATAATATAAGTTATAAAATTTTTGAGTGTTAAATCATAATTTTTTTTAAGTTGCATTAGTTAATAAAAGGGTTCAAATGTATGTGGTTTGAGAAAGTTAAAAAATAAGGTTTCAAATGCATGGGATTCAAAAAGAAAATTATATATATATATATATATATATATATATATATATATATATATATATATATATATATAGACACACACACACACACACACACATCGCAGTTTAAACCGCGACTTTGTAATTGAAAAACCGCAAACTGCACCACATAGTCCGATTTAACGATATAACAAACCGTAAAAATTCTAAACCGTATTATGCAATGCGGTTTGGTTGTGGTGCGGTGCAGGTGGTTTGTACGCTTTGGTACACACCACTACCTTGTACACGGAACAAAAATTACAGTCATTATCAAAGAAAAATGGGACCAACAAGTTATTAAGGGGTTGTTTGGGATTGCTTATAAAAAAAGCTTATTAGCTTATTTGCTTATCCAATAAGAAAATAAGCTGAAAATATGTTTGGGTAAATGAAAAGTGTTTTTAAAAAGAGCTTTTTTGTAAAGAAGAATAAGCAGATTTTAAAAAGCAAGAGAATCGTGGCTTTTTTAGGACTTATTGACTTTTTAGTTTTTAACGCCTTAAGAACCAATCCAAACACATTTTAAAATTGCTTTTAAAAAAAAACCATAAACCAATAAGCACTTTAAAAAAAAGAAACACTTTTAAGTATAAAAAGCACTCACAAACACCCTCTAAAATGTAAACAACTTTTGTTTTTGAAAGGTGAAATTAGTCTAAACTCTAAACAGTAAATACCGTTTATGTCCTTTAACCACGACATCTCATTTAAGAAAGAGTAAATTACATAAATGGTCCCTATGGTTTTGGGTAATTTGCACGTTTGGTTTCCAATTTATTTTTTTAACTCGGAAGGTCCCTACTGTTTGTTTTTGTTACGCGTTTGATCCCTACTGTTTGTTTTTATTACATGTTTGGTCCCTATCTTACCCAAAACGATTATTATTTAAATAGGAAAAAATGATATGGCGGGTAAGATAAGGTGAGAGGGGTGGGGTTGGGGGTCTGTTTATTTAAATAGATTAAAAAAATTAAGGGTAAAATAGTCTTTTTATGTATGACAGGGATCAAGCGCGTAACAAAAACAAACAATAGAGACCTTCCGAGTTAAAAATATAAATTAAGGACCAAATATGTAAATTACCCTAAACCATAGGGACTGTTGGCACAGGCCCTTGAAAACACACACGCAACACACACTCTCACGTAGTTACAACAATAGAATATGCAGAAGCTTCACTATTCTGATGAAAAAAGGTGAAAATACAAAAGGAAAATAACACCTATTTATAATTAAGAAAACAAACATGCACATGCTAATCTCGTATCTCCTATAAACTTGGTCAACTTGACCATTTTCTGTTGTCCACCTTCTAGAACATGGGTATAATCCCTTTATTTCAGCATGACTCAATCAAACACTCCTGGATCATGAACTAGATCCGACCCATGACCCGTTGAACCAACCGATTAACCCAACAATCACCCCCTTAATCGGTTGTTCACAGCTGCCTTTAATCACCCTCCTTTCATCTCGATTCAAGACCTTTCCCGAACACCCGACTTTCACCTCCGCCACGTCTAAAGTCTTCCATACCCGATCCCGACTTTTCCCGGACACCCGACCTTCACCTCGGTCACGTCCAAAGTCCTCCATACCCGGCTGTTGTTTGTCACCACACAGAATCCGTTTCCACCTAACACTTCTGTGACACGAGAGCCTTCTCCCACCGATAAAGAAGACAAAGCTATCCGCTTTTACCATCTTCTTTCACCTGCAAAAACGAAACAAACCCAAAGCCACCTGCTTTGACGGATCTTTTCTATTCGTTTTCTTATGCATCTCCGGTAAATCTCTCCATTTTCCGTGACATACCCACAACCTACCGCCGGAATCATCACCTTGTCTTGTTTGTGATAGTCCCAACCTTTTCCGATCTAACCCGTTCCTATCTAGAGTCCTCTTCCACCATTTACGAAAACCAAGCTCATGCTTCTTCTGTTTTCATTTACCAGCTCTGAAAAAAACCAAATCAAAACCCACCTATTTTTGATTTCTTTTCGCTTCTCTTCTCCGCCTCTGGTTAGGCACTCTTAAACCTGGAACATTCTGATCAAGGATGGAGATTTCACCTTTGCAGTCTTGACCCTATTCACGCGTCTGCTATGAATGCATCCTCAACACCCATCTGTTGTCATACGAATAACTATAGTCACCCTCTGCGACTTACTTCACCAGCATCACATCCTGTTTCAATAGGAAAATCACCACAATAAACCGCAGCCACCTGCTGCACACAACGACCAATTTTCTGCCATCTGTATCAACCAACTGGAATGTCCGGCCAAGAAACCGTTGCCAAACACCCCGATTCCGCTGTGATGACAGCCTTGCACCCGAAGGCTCCTCCCCTTCGAAAGTCGACTCTCAAACCGACCGTCTTTTTAAACCGCTCTGATACCAATTGTTGGCACAGGCCCTTGAAAACACACACGCAACACACACTCTCACGTAGTTACAACAATAGAATATGTAGAAGCTTCACTATTCTGATGAAAAAAGGTGAAAATACAAAAGGAAAATAACACCTATTTATAATTAAGAAAACAAACATGCACATGCTAATCTCGTATCTCCTATAAACTTGGTCAACTTGACCATTTTTTGTTGTCCACCTTCTAGAACATGGGTATAATCCCTTTATTTCAGCATGACTCAATCAAACACTCCTGGATCATGAACTAGATCCGACCCATGACCCGTTGAACCAACCGATTAACCCAACAGGGACCATTAGTGTAATTTACTCTTTAAGAAAATCACGTTTACACCCGCTAATTCAAAGACCCACTTATAAAGTTTTATTTATTTATTTATTTATTTATTATTGAAATTAAGCATAGTGCCCTTTTTAGGACCATAGCAACAATACCATATACTCCCTTTAATGGCAAGAGCTCTCGAAAAGTTTTGTTAATGCTTATTATTCTTTCAATATTTGGCAAATAAAAAGTTCAAATATAGAAAACACCCAAACACGAAATATATCCATCTATTGATCGAAATAACCATACTTTTCATAATAGCTCCACCCATCAGTCACCGGAAACCACCGCCGCCTGACATTTCAGACGAAACGGCTGAGAAATTCATCAACTGTAGTGTACTTTACATCAGGATAAAGTTCAGAAGCTTCAACCCCAAATGATGGTTTTGATCTCAAAGTTTGTTTGATCGCCCTTCACGAAGATCGAGTGCGAGATCGACAATACCACGTTCAACGGAACCGGAGATTCTGCAGAGTAATGAACAAATGAGTCATCGGGATTTGGAGATGATGATAATGATGAAGAGGAGTTTCAGGTAATGAACATAAAACAGAGCTACAGAATTACAGTACCTTGTATGTTCTTCAAAACTTGTTCATCGGAAAGATAAACCCTCTCCAACTTTTTCCCGATCTTCTTCTCCCACAAAGACACCAGCTCGTTAAATGAGTAAATATTACCAGGAGGCTTGATGTAAACGATTTTGTTCAGAGTTCTTGGGTCATCGACGGATTTAATGGTGTAAGTTCCAATGTCATGTTCCTCATTGAAAACCACTGCGATATATACAGATTAGATTATTAGAAAGTAGCTTGAAGAGAAAGAAAGAAATTGGTTTAATTTACCTTTTGCATTTCCGTCTCCTAAGATGACGACTTTATCCCTTGGTGGCGCGGTGGCTGCTGGCTGTGCTAATGTTGGGAGGAAATAGCCAGCAAAACAATTGGAAGAGACGTAGGTATGCGGGATTCCTTCGGATTCAATGGCGCGGCGGATCTGCGCCTTGTTTGCAAAAGCTGATTTGGCTGGCTCCACGGCGTTTGTACGATCCACATCATTTCCGAACTCCGATGGGTAAAATTTCTTTGTAATACAGGAGCAATGGAAGAAGTTAGAAATCGTAGCAACATTTATCCCTGGTGAACTTTTTAATGGATTTGAATCCCCAAATTTCCAAACGAAAACATATATGCCTTTTCATGGTGTGAATGACATTTGAGAGTAAATTCAACCAAAATAATTCGATAATCAAACTTGAAAAGATTGAAATTATCTACAGACGAAGTAGATCTGTACTACAATCGAATGAAACGAACAGTAAGAACGACCTACAGGCTGCAGAAATTGATTTCGTCTAGAGATTTTCAATTACCTTCACGTTACCAGCTTCTTTAATGGCGGCAATGATTTTAACTTGATCACCGAGTTGTGTATGACCTACCGTCGAGATCACCACATCTACCTGCTTTATCGCCTTCACCAAACTCGCGTGATCATACAAGTCTCCCTGCCAAAAGTATACACAATTATCAGGAATTTCTCTAAATTCTAGTTACTTAAAGAAGAATAATTATTACTGACAGTGATGAAAGTAACGCCGGATTTCGTAAACGATTCGACCAGGGAGGATTTGGCAGGGTTGGAGAGCGTGGATTCCCTGACGAGAAGGAAAGTAGGATGGCCGGACTTGGCACTGGCCTCGACGATGAATTTTCCGATGTAACCAGTTCCTCCGATGATCAAAATCTTACTCTTTTCCGCCATTTTGTTTCTTCGACAACGATTTCCAGGTGATCGGATACGATAGAAAAGGGAGCAATTAAGTTTAAGCATGCAAGTGGAGTTTAGTAAGCGAGTAGTTATAGCGTATTGGGAAGCATGGTGATGGAGGCTCAAGAAGCATGAATTTATAGATAGACCCTTTCTCTTTTGGATTATTACATATACATCCTTCTTTTTTAAAAGTGATTATGCCCATGAATATGTCCGGATTCATTTTTCATTACTTTAGGTGGAGCATCTCACATTCTCATCTTTTCTTTTCTTCTAGAAAATGGTTATGTTCACACCTCTAATAATTTTTTGGGCTATATATTTGGATTTTTTAAATCAAGGGATTGAAGTATCTAAGAAACTATATACGAATAGTGAGATGCCATGAAGGTGACGTATTCTATAGAACAATGCTAACGCATTTAAGAGGTGTACATGTTTGAATGGTACAATTTAAGTTTCAAGATATCATGGTTTAGGTTGGCCGTAAACAATGTTTGAATCAAGTTTCAAGATATCATGGTCGAGAATTCGAAGACATGATCATGATTTAGGCGGTGCTTGATATTAAGGCCGAACTTTTGGACTGGAACTGGTTAGAATCGAATAGGATGGTTTGGGCCGATTCCCGATTACCACATATCCTCTGAACCAGTTATCAGGTAAACTGGTACCGCGTATAAAAAATCGTTTTTTCAAACGGATTAACCGGAACCGAGAATATGAAAAGTCAAGTTAGGATTGATTCTCTTCACTTGCGACATTAGTCGTGATCCTTGGGCAGAAAGCAAATTGAGCCAAATTCGTTCTTCCCTCATGTGGTCATCATATGAGCAACAAAATAAAAAATTGCAACAATCGATCAAACTATTGTCGTGACCAACTGACTCGTGAGTACTTGACCTTCAGCTCCTTTAAGCAATCGATCAATTGTATCATCCTGGATTGAATCAAGTCAGAAAACAAATTAATAAGTGGGAAGAAACTCAAGAAACTCAACTAAGCAACCATAATCAATTTTTTCAATCTTTCAATGTGTTATGTGTAATGTATATGATATAAAGTGTAAACCAATATCAATTTCAATGTTGGAATATATCAATCTTTCAATGTGTATAAATAAAAATGTACTCTAATGTTTTACCCTAATATAGTGTGTGTTTGTGTATGAGTTATGTGTATGAATAAATGTACATTGCTATTCTTCCATTCGTTGATTACATACATAATTAATGTAAGAAATTGAAATTTAAAAAAAAAATGACTTGTAGTTAAATATTGACCAAAATGGCAAAATGATCAATTATGAGAAAAATATGAGAACAAAAAGTTATGACTTCATGAAAATGATCAAGAAGAGTTTAAGTCACTAAGGTAAGATTAGATAAGTAAGTTTGAGAGAAAGAATGCAGGAGAATATATATTTTTGGTCAAATTGGTAAAATAAGAATTTTATACTTTTTAGGCAAACTTTGTGACTTAATAAATTAAAACCCGTATTGAGTTGGTGATATATAAGTTAACAGAGTTAAAAGAGAAATCATATGGATTAATTAATATTGGTTAAAAATTAATTAAGAAATTAATTTTGTGATCAAAAGATATTAATTAAACTTAGGGGACTGGAATTGCAATTATAAGATAATTGGATTTTGGGTTGTGGATCATATGGATAAGGGGGTGGACGAAATTAGGGTGGAAGCCCACCTTGAAATCGTTTAGGGCCTTATTCCAGAAGGTTTCATTGAACTGCTTAAGGCCTAAACTATCCAATTAGAGTCTTGATTGAAACCCTAGCAGCTCCACTATATAAGGACCCCTAGGGCTTCAGAAATCGGCCACCAGAAACCCTAAGAAGTCTTAGAGCTGATTTTGAGCCTCTCACCCCCTCTCTCTAAGATCATCTAATTTGCTTTGGTGTTTGTGATCTATTAGAGGCATCACATTGGAGGTGCTATGTTCTCATTAGCTAAAGATCTTCAAGCAGCAATCAAGGTAACATTCTTATTGGATATTTATGTTATTTTCAAGCTTTGTTGTTTGCTAGATCAGGTTTTGTAAGCTTTAGATGATTTGCATGTGTAATAGAGAAACCTAGATCCAAAGCTTTAGGGTTGTATGTGCACCATATGATCGATGTATTGCTCAAAACCCATCATTAGAACCCTTCTCAGGGTCTGAAAGGACAACCCAAAACGTCCAAAAACTAAACATGCATAACAATGAGAGTTTTAGGACAAGAGGAACATCATAAGGCTATCAAAATGAGATCCATGCAGACAAAGCATAAATGTAACAACATTTACCTTCTAGAGCTTCCCAAGAAGGTGATGATCCAAGATCCACAAAGCTTGCTTCAATTTCTAATTTCCTTAATGCAACACTTTCTTCCTTAAGCACACAAAGAACACACTTTAAGCTCAAAACACTCTCTTATGGGGTTAGGGTTTTCCAAAAACGACTTGTAACAACGCAAATTTTCAAACAAAATTTTCATTTAAAATAAGTGATTTATTTCAACCAAATATATTTATTCCAAATTTCATATCAAAATACAATCATAAAATCCCCAAGATCTCAAAACATCAACAGTGTGTACGCGTCATGCCGGCGCCTTCCCACGGTCCTCGCTAGTACCTGAAACACATACATAACAACTGTAAGCATAAATGCTTAGTGAGTTCCCCAGTATACTACTTACGCATATACGCCTTTCCAGGCCCTGACCTTCCGGTCCACAACACAATCGCCTTCCGGCCCTTGAGATAATCGCCTTCCGGCCCATAACATATTGCCTTCCGGCCCATAAACATACACAACAAATAATACATTTATCCTAACACATATAGCACATATATCATATATCATATCCGACCTTTCAGTCACATAACATATTGCCTTCCGGCCCATATAAACATACATAGCACGCATAGCAATTACCTTTCCATTTATAGCACTTATAACACATATCATATCCGACCTTCCGGTCACACAGTCAAACCCTTCCGGGTACAGTATAGTGAGAAGACTCACCTCGTGGGTAATGAAAGCTAGCGACTCCTGAAATCACTCGCACTCGATCCGCCGAGCTACAGACTCCCTATAATATCATATATCCCTTATTAATACTTTTATCTTTCAAGACACTGACCCTAAGAAATCACATGTAGGTCAACTCTGGTCAACGGTCAACGTCAACGGTCAACTTGACCGGACTCGGCGAGTGCTAAGGCGACTCGGCGAGTCTAGACGTCCTCACCAAATCCTGATGTTCCCTTTCTACTCGTCGAGTATCCCTCTTGACTCGACGAGTTCCTCGTGGAAGAATCGCGGGGCCACCCCGACTCCACTCGCCGAGTCTGAAGAACAGCTCGACGAGTCCCAGTTAATCTCCAAGCTACTCGCCGAGTCTGTTCATCGGACTCGGCGAGTCCATGCCATGCAGTCGATCAAACTGCTTCCTGAGATCAGTATTGTCCCGACCATTCATAGGTCTGGTCCTCCTAAGCTGGTACAACACGTAAGACCTTCATTTAGGTGCTCATGCTACACCCCAAGACTTGTAATTTACCTTTTGACTTAAGGCATAAGGATTCCAATCCAAAACCTCTCTTAATTCCCGAAATACACAGGCATGGGACATTCTGGACCTCTAAAGGTCCTAATACAGGGTTATAATCGTTTGGGGAACAAGGGTAATAATCAATCTAGTCACAAAAGGGTTCCATAAACCCTAAATCCATGCACACATCAACATAGCAGAATATGATCCGAAATATTTACCTGAATAATGCACTCTCTGTGTCCCCAATCCTCAGAACTTGATTCCCTTGCTGTTCCTTTAGCCAAACCTTCTCTTCCTTGCACAATAACTTCTTCAAGATCACCAATGGCCTTCAATCCTTGCTCTAGATGCCCACAACCGATTTAGGGTTCTTCTCAGTCGCTAAAGACGGACAATGACGGCCTATAAGTCCGTTATATACGTTCCAAAACCGAACGGCTAGGGTTTCCGCTGAACAGCGCAGACTCGCCGAGTCCATAATGGACTCGTCGAGTCCAGTCGCGAACCCGCGACCAAGTCTGTGGTCCTACTCGGCGAGTCTGGCTCCAACTCGCCGAGTCCCCTCCTAAAACACCCCAAAAACAATATTATAACAATACCTGAAATTCCGGGCTGTTACAACTCTCCCCCACTAGGACTAGACTTCGCCCTCGAAGTCTCATTCTGCAAATAACTCCGGATGTTGCTCCCGCATCTCACGCTCCGGCTCCCAAGTCATCTCCGATCCTTTCCGGTGTTGCCACTGAACCAACACCAGAGGTACCTCCTTATTCCTCAGAACCTTGATCTTCCGATCCCTGATGGCTACTGGTCTCTCGGCGTAATTCAGGCTCGCATCCACCTGAATATCCTCTAATGGAACCACTGCCGATTCATCGGCTATACACTTCCTCAACTGCGATACGTGAAAGGTATTGTGGATCTGTCCCAACTCTGCTGGCAATTCCAATCGATAAGCTACCCGGCCTACCCTTGCAATCACACGAAATGGACCTATGAACCGGGGCCCCAACTTGCCCCTCTTCCTGAACCGGATCACTCCCTTCTAAGGAGAAACCTTCAGGAGAACGAAGTCGCCAACCTGAAATTCAAGCTCGGACCGGCGTCTGTCCGCATAACTCTTCTGTTGGCTCTGGGCGGTCAATAACCTCTGTCTAACCTGCTTAATTTGCTCTGTCGTCTGAAGTACGATCTCTGTACTGCCCATCACTCTCTGTCCCACCTCTCCCCAGCAAATGGGGGTCCGACACCTCCTACCATACAACAACTCAAAAGGTGGCATACCAATGCTCGAATGATAGTTGTTGTTGTAGGAAAACTCTGCCAAGGGTAAATGCGCATCCCAGCTACCCCCGAAGTCTAACACACACGCTCGAAGCATGTCCTCCAATGTCTGAATCGTCCGCTCGCTCTGGCCGTCTGTCTGGGGATGGTAATGCGGTACTAAAATGCAGTTTAGTACCCAGCTCCTCGTGGAATTTCTTCCAGAACCTGGAAATGAAGCGTACATCACGGTCCGAAACAATCGAGATCGGCACTCCATGCCGAGAATACCTCTCTCACATATAACTCCGCCAACTTTCTCCGCTGATGAACTCTCGCT